AGTTTCCATACATTTGTTCAATACTTCCGAAACGTATTTGTGTCGTTCTCTTCTTTCTGGATTTCCATTCTGGTAGTACAAACTCACTATTTCAATCCGTTCTCGAAGTGTATAAAACATTGCTTCCTAAGAGTTCACAAGAACAGAAACACCAATTGTAACTTCACCTGGTAGGTAATCGTTATTGTAGAATTAGACAAATACAAAATGAAGAGAATATCGGATTCAAACTTAACTAGGCAAAATAAGACTTTTTTGAATATACTTCTTGAATATACTTCTTGTGAATATACTACTTTTTTATATACTTCACAAAAACACATATGAAAACTAGGTAACAGATTGTACAAAAGTTCATTCAGGGTGGCTCGTTTTCAACTCAAATAATTTGTAGCTCCCGTACCATAAGTTTCAGACCATATGTTTTAAACTTTGTTGAAATATGCTCATCATGGAGCATCTGATAATGCGAAACAATATAGGGTGATCCATTAAAAAAAAATAGTGACATGTTATGGGGGTGCGATAGGGGAAGTAACATCAAGTTTGAATATGTGTCCCCCTGTATACTGTTGTTGACGTGTTTCTTTATTTTTCCTGCAAATCATTGTACCAAAAGTTATTCGGGGTGGCTCGTTTCAAATGCAATGCACTGTATATTTAAAAAGAGAAAGAGAGAGAGAGAGAGAAGTGTGGTTTTTTGGGGATTTGGTCCGTTTAAAATGTAAATGATACTCTTTTTAGTTTTCCGAGCTTTCACCAATGTTGATTAGCTTTATAGAGGTTTAACATGAGAATGACAATTTTTTGACAGTGAAAAATGTTTCAATATTATAGGATTTATTCAGGTTTCTTTTGTTAGTAAAAATTACTAAATTTTGCTTTCTAAACATACCGAATCCCCGTAAAACCACTATCAACAATTATATGTGGGGTTGCACTCAGATTAGGAGTGGCTATTACAAAGAAGACTCTTTGTTATGTGTCAAGCTTTCGGTAAATTTATTATACCTTCATCAGGACAACTAAAATAGATTACAATACACTTATTTAATATAGCTATATGAATATGAAACACTTACTAATGGAAGAATAATAAAGAAACTGGAACAACACGAACAGAAATAATATGCATATTTTTTTTACTATGTCAAATTTTGACAGTGTCTTGTGGAAAAATCTTAATACTAGATGATTGTTTCTTATCTTTCTCGTATTTAAGTAGAAATGTATAAATTTGGCGGCTCAATTTGTTGAGATATGTTCTCTTGTTCATGCAATGTTCTTCTTTATTGATGTGAGTCATTTCTAAAAATGTTCTTTTGGTTGAGTTGGTTTCTCTATCCAAAATTTCTATTCTCGTAATCCATTCTGTGAACCTCCGTATTGACGTGATCATGCTCTCAATGCGCAAGAATTAACGTTTCTTTTGCATTCGCTTTTGTGTGAAGTTATGTGACTGATAAGAGGCCTAGAACTCTGACCTAAAAATATGTTTTGGAACAATCCATACATGAAATTTTGTGTATTTTGTTTGATTTTTGTTTATTCAAAATCAGATTTTTGACTTCACTATATAGTTTAGAAATTATAAAGTGATTGTTTCGGAATAGGTACATTAATTAATTTTTGTGTTAGTTCTTGAATATAAGGTAATGATAGCTCTGAGGAATATTCCCAGTAAGTGGAGAGAAGTAAGAGTAGTATTTAAGGCATTCCGACCCATTAGTCTCACATCATTTTTCTTAAAAACCATGAAGAGGCTATGTGAGCGGTACATAAGAGATGAAGAACTAGTTCACAACCCACTTCATCCAAATCAGCATGCATATACTCCGGGAAGGTCTACTGATTCGGCCCTTCACCTTGTGGTTGGCAGAATCGAGAGATCATTGGACAACAAAGAATCCACCCTGGGTATATTAATAGATATCGAGGGATTGTTAATAAAACAACCTTTTCAACAATCACCCAGCAACTACACTCTAGGAATGTACCCCTGGTAGCGGGAGAATGGATACTCAAGATGCTATCTAGTAGAGCAAAAAGTATTAATGTAGAAGACATCACAGTGAAAGGACTGGTTATGAGGGGAAGTCCACAGGGAGGGGTCTTATCGCCCCTTCTCTGGAACATAGTTCTGGATACCCTGATTAATAACTTTAACTGGATTCTACACAATTGCATACGCAGATGACATAGTTATCTTGCAGACCGGCAAATTTGTAAACACACCGTGCGGTAGAGCGCAGGATGGGCTCAAATTGATAGAAACATGGCGTAAGGAACACTCACTGTTGATTAATCCCAAGAAGACTGAGATGGTCCTTTTCACCAGGAAAAGAAGTTTAACGGGGTTAAAACCTCTCGAAATCTTCAAAAGCAAACTAAACTTCTCTGAAGAGGTGAAATACCTTGGTACTATCATCGACAGGAAGCTAACATGGAACTCTCATTTACAGAGTAGAGCAAAATGAGCAAACGTGGCTTATGAGCAATGCCGGAGGACAGTGACACGCGCATGGGATTTTTCACCCCGTGTGGTCACCTAGATCTACCCTGCAATAATAAGACCTATGTTAACATATGGAGCCATTGCATGTGGACCGAAAGTTCTACAAGCAACGGCCATCTAAAAATTATATCGTATACAGCGACTGGCTTGTTTAAATATCACAGGAGCCATGAGAACAACACCAACTGCGGCAATGGAAGTAATCACGGGTTTGACCCCTCTGGATCTGTACGTTGAGGATGTTGCGTTAATGGCCATGGTACGATTGCGCATGGCTGGTGTAAACTTTGAAGTAGGAATGGGTCAATGATACAAATGCAATACGGATTTATACAGACGGCTCAAAAACCAGAGAAGGCTCAGGATGTGGAGTGTACTCCAGATCACTAAGCCTAAGAATTAAGTGGGAAATGGAAGGAAATACCAGCGTGGTCCAAACAGAACTGGCTGGTATCTCAATCGCCACCAAAGAAATAACCAAGAAAGGAATTTCTGGCAAAAACATAACAATCTGCACTGACAGCAGACAACGTATAACCTCAGGGCTAGTACTAGAGTGTCACTAAGATTTAGCCAAAGTCTCAGTAGAAAATAACATTATCCTGACATGAGTAAGGAAGCGGCTGGACTATGAATTTCAGAACCCAGTGGCATCTACGGCCTGATGACTTCGACAATTGCGGAACTAGTCAAATGTTACACTCATGCTCAATCCTTAAAGAGATGGGATGGAATCAAAGGATGTAATCTTGCCAGGATCACCTTGGGCGACCCTGGGAAGCTGGCGTCGAAGAAATATCTGGCGGTGACCATGAAAAATATATGCCTAATAGGAAACACCTCCATATGGGGCTAGTGGACACACCTCTATGCAGGATGTGTGAACAGGAAGATGAGACTGCCAGGCATGTCCTGTGCGAGTGCCTGGAGTTATCGTCAATGAGTGAGTGTGTGTTCGGCGAGTCTTGGCCTACACCTGCCGATATAAAGGAGATGTCTCCCAGTGACCTGTCCACCTTCCTGGAAAGGACAGGATGGACGATGACCTAGGAGGACAACTTCTCGGGAGGATGTACAATGGGTCACATGTGGCCTAAGTGCTGTGGGCTTACACTCACCCCCTGCCTACTCTACAGAGATAAGGTAATTATTTATAAATAAGCGTTAGAACACGTGTCGCGGGTTTTGCAAAACCCCTTATAGTGAAAATCAAACAATAAACTGTATTAATGAGTTTTAATATGGATTTTCATCAACTATTGACCAGTTTTATTCAATTAAAAGGTTCCATTTAGCTTGCCCTGTTTGTTTGGGTCAAATCAAGTAATTGAAGTTTGACCCCCCTTCTGTTGACAGAATGATCTAGAATTTCATACACACATTTTGTTTTCATGACAATACAATTTAGTAGATTTTGTAAATCTAAGATGGCCGCAGCTACAAAATGGTGGATTACATATTGTTTCACAACTACCTCAATATGGGTATCAAATGAATAGTGTAGTACACTTTGAAAAAGATGCAAATTGAAGATGGCCGTAGCTCCAAAATGGCGGATTACATATTACCTTGTAATAGTAGAGTGGACAGAATGAGAAGAATATTACTGGAGTTTTTTTTTTCCTAACACCAAATCGTTATTTTTACACCTCGACACGTGTTTCGATCACCAAGTGATCATCTTCAAGAGAAAGATAAAACTGAAGATGATCACTTGGTGATCGAAACACGTGTCGAGGTGTAAAAATAACGATAAGGTGTTGGGAAAAAACTCCAGTAATATTCATTACTACACCAAAGGTTCCAAACAGTACATCATAAGAATGAGAAGAATTGGGTAACAAAATTATAAACTGAACACTTGAAAACATAATAAGTTAAAAAATTATGTTAAATTTTATTGAAATAAAAAAGATGATAAGGATGACGATAATGTACTAAAAATAATTCGGAAGGCCCTAGGTAGCAGTCATCACACCACTCTCCTCAATAATATACGGTATTGATCAAATAAAAAAAATCGTTGGGCGTAACGTAACCTGAGTAAATAAGTCAATAAAATTTTTTTTTCAATAATACTTATTTCATTATACTATGTACTCATGCAGTTCCGATTGACATTTTTATTTGTGGAAGACCCTTGTTTATAAACGAATCAATTAAATTGTCAAGCAATTCCCAAGTTCAGTATATGAATAATGTTGCCTACAAAGTAATTATCAACTTCAATTTTTGAAAACAGATTTTCTTTGTTTATGCAATCATGCATAATTAACGACATCGCAGCAGAATTCCAGTGAACTCCTTTAATTTCGATGACCTCTCCGATAAATGTTTTTGTGCAGTAGCGAAGACATGACAACTTTGCCGAGAACAAGCTACATAGAACTTGCGTACCTAGAAAATTATCTAGCGGTACTGAATCACCTTGCAGATTAGGATGTACTTACTCCATCAATCGCTCGAGATTAGCAGAGAAAATGAGAAACGAACGGTATGAACATCGTGAACTTTAATCGCAGTCCAATCGACTAACTATATAATGACCAAACCGTGATAAACAATATTCAGTATTGTACAAATTAATGCCAGATAAACGTAAACTTCATGGTATCCGTTCGTCGCGACCAGTGAAATGGAAGTTGTTTTGCATGAAAGTTCGAATGTCAGTGATTCTGTGGAGGGTGAAGAATCGCGCGAGGTTGGCTGGGCGGTACAGGGAGTGCAAATGAATACTGAAGATGAAAAAGTGCACTTCAACAATGGCAACGTGTCGGCCAGAACTTACCCTCCAGGAAAAACAATCGATATCCAGTTTGAAAACATCACTTATACAGCAAACGAGGGCACGATCTTCAAGAAAGGGAGTAAGTGCGATTGAAAACCTAAAAATAGGTATATTTTCTTCAAAACATGTAAAAACCATATGAAAAATCCCGTATTCAACTTAAAATATGATGTCGTTTGAAACAAAGGAATTTCATTTCAGAATCTTTAAGACGCATTCAAATATTTTGTGGAAATATGCTTATCATATTTGAGTTAAAGTTTTGTATACACAATGATCCAGTAGGTTTCAACTGTTTGGGTTGATCAGTTGAATAATAGTTAATTATATAAAAGAAGATTTTTGGGATATTGTTTAGAAAATGTTAGTCGAATTAGATCAAAATCGAATTTTCTTTTTCATATCGTGATTATCAATGGCCGTTTTTGGAATACTTGCAAAAAACTAAAGTTTCCGGGTTTCGTTTTTTCTAATGAATAAGTCAAAGAAACTTTGTTATGATCTGGTATGAACTGATTTTCATTGCGACGTTCCGTTCATTGAATTTCATCATCGAGTTTTTTTTTAATATGAATATCTAGTTTTTTGTCAATTTTGGTAGCCGCAATCATCAATCAACAAATGCATTTCTCTTCGTAGAAACATCATCATAATCAGGTAATACAACTTCCCATTGGAGATGTCTCAAAAAATTAGAGTGCAATATCCTCCATATCTCGAATGGAAAGATATACATAAACTTCAAATATCTCCCGAACATTTGCAGTTAGATATGAATGCCCATGCATTCCTATCAATAAGATTCCAAATTTTTCTATTGATATCACACGGAAGCACAATGAGAGAAATCTGTTGAAAAAAACTGAAAAACATTCATGAACATTAGGAAATTAGCATCATAATATTATAATAATTCTTCAATACTTATATAGTCGAAGTAACTGATATAGTCATTCTTAAAGCTATCGGCGAAGTCAAAGGCCAAAAAAACCAATACAAAGAAATAATGCCGCTACGAATTAGTCCACGTTGTGATCTTACCCCCAAATTTTTTAAACAAAAATAGGGCTTCAATTGTCAGCCATGTTAATAACTGGTAACAATAAATTTATCTGTTTTACCTGATGGTTACCTATCTCAAAAGTACCTGTTCACCAATCAGTAATCTGTATCAAGAAATATTGACTAATTCTATGCAACTACTGTTATATAAAGATTTTTCTGAATTAGTACTCTGCAACTTTTTCGCGAGACCCACTTTTTCAGACGGTTTTTCACGAATATTTGAAAAAATAAGTATTTTATAGGAAAAGTTGTGTTTAGCAGAAATGTAGATGAAAAGAATGGTGGATAAATGGTGTGCGTAGAACCAATACAAACGGAGTGAAAGCTTGTTGAAGGTTGGCCATACGCCAAAACAAAGTTTCGCGAAAACGTGGGTTATTCATTGGTTGAAAAATTGACATTTTCACTCGCGAATGAGTCGATAAATATTGGGTTTCAGAAATAACTTTATATGACAAAAGTTGCTCAGGATTAGTCAATATGTTCATTTACGGACTTATTTTAAATGAAATATTTTCCCTCGCGATATGGGATAGCATCAAATTTGAAGTAGAGAGTAAGTAGAATCGAAATCTACAAATCGAAACTGTCATATACAATTATACAGTGTCATCGTATTTTACCTTCAGAGATTGGACTCTGAGGTCCAGTCTCCAGTTGAGTCAAGTTTTAACATTTCCGATATACCAATAGTAGGATCAGTTAAAAAGCGGTGTACTCTCAAGTTATAGACATGTTTCAGCATCTTTTATTACTCCGTACACTGGTTTATCCATTGTTGAAACATAAAAATACCTCGTTATATCAATTGGCGATTTCATATTTGTACACAAAGTATTGCAATCGCCAACAGCACCTGAAATGAATGGAAATATATGAAGAGGTAAATAATTCCGTAAAACCGTTCCACCTAATGAACTTGTTTGTTCAATACTTTTAGTGCTTCAAATATTTCCAGAAGGTAATCAAATTCGTTCTCAAGGTCCCGTTTGTTCTGCTTCATTTGCTTGTCTGTCGGATTTTGCAATTTTTTCAATTGTTCATGATGAATACTGCCGTGGCCTGTTATTTTTGACAGGTTGAATGAACTGCAAAATAATTTTAGGATCTCTTAGACTGATAAACTTAGTTGAAAACATACACACAGTGAAAACTTATGATAGGATAAAATCCGAATACATTTTTTCAAATCTTCGTATATGTCGAATTTCAAGTTTGAAAATCAATTTTTCATCTGAAAGTTTTCAAACTTCTCTCCACTTCCTGGCGTACGGTTCAACTCTTTCAAAAGACTGTGAAGGAACGGGGGTAGATAGGTAGGTCTAAATATTAGTAGGTCTGGGAAAAGAAGGTTTTTGCTTTCTACTTCTCCATCTTGATACAAAAAAATGTGGGAACCTTTCGAAGAAAGGAAGGAAGAAATCAGTTTCAGAGAAGTAACAATATACAAAGATGTGTAGATCATGCAAAGAAATAACTTGATAATTGACGATTGTCAATCATCAAATTCGAATAAGTGCCAAGCATGAGCCAGTAAAATGTTTTTTTCAAATTTTGAATAATATAAGTTTTTATACTTTTTCTCTGTAATGTTGAACTGATTGTGTGACACTTTTCTACATGATGAAAAGTAATAACTTTGTTTTTCTCATTGCCACGTCTGACTTTTTACTATAAACTCAGGTTAATGTCTTGATAAAGAGAATAAACATTCTCGAAAGCTCTACCATATGTCAAAGAGTATTCTTTAAAAAACAGCCCGGTAATTTGACTGCATATACACAGGGTGTAACTAAATAAGTGTAAAACATTTGAGGAGGTGATTCCTCATCGAAAAAAAGATAGGATCCTTCATATAAAGAAACTTCATTGGAGCATCCCTTGTTAAGATACACCCTCTTAAAGGGGTTACATAAAATTTGTATAACAATTTTTTTCACAAGCACTAAAAAAATTACAATATTGAAATTGACCTGACGTTTTGTACTACCAAAAAGACACTTAGGCAGAAATTTATTTGATTTACCCCATGGTTGTAAGGGGTGGAAAACGCAACCCCTAAAATTTATTTCCAATGTAACTTTTTGTCTTATTATTTGTTTACCATTTTAAAATGTATTTCCGATAGCCTGTTTCATTCTAAACAAAAAATGTCTCTTGGGTTTTTTGCCCCAAAATGAACCTGAACAAAACTGAACCTGCGTCAATATTGGATATACGGCAGAAAATAAAAAACTATTTGTAGAGATATTGATGTTACTGTGTTCGAAAATGTTCAGCGTGAAATATCGGATATGCTGTTCATATGTCAAGAAGTTCTAGGCAACCATTTTGAGCATCTTCTGAACCGACATCAAGCCTATCATATTATGTATTTAAATGTCAATATATTCAGGCAATTATTTAAAGTTTCGTCATTTTGTAATAGTTGAAGATATTGACTTTATATTGTAGGGTTGTGAAGCATTTGTCAGGAGCTTCAAAAAGATGTGTCACAAGACCCCTCTTTCCATTTAATTTTTTTCCCAGCAGCCATCTTGAAAGTTTCATCTGTCAATTTCACTTCAAAATAAAGTATTCGTGCAATAATTTCATTATCCTAAATTTCAATTTTTTGAGTTGACCCGTTCAGAAAATAAAAGGGCGGGCATTAAAGAAAAGCACTGTATAAGCAGGCTAATATAAGATGGTCTCAAAGTTCAGTGAATGCGAAATGTATTTTCGTCAAATTTTTAGATGGTCACAAATAAGAGTTGATTTTGAGTGGCCTGGGTCGGTTTCATTATGATGAGTAATTTTTAAATCTGCTTTCATAACTTAATATGAGTTCACCAGACTGAAAATTCTGTCATGATTATTGTTATCGTTCTGCATAAAGGAAATTTCTTATCGAATGAAAACAAAATGATTGATAATGCATACATGAAATTTATATTACTAAACAAAATGTTACAAAATTGAGGCACAACATCGGGATGTTTAGAAAGGGTGAGCTGAGTTAAGTGGGTTTGAATATCAAAAATAGTTGTTTTCCAATTTTTTAATTAGAATACGTTAACTGGTGTTAGAACGAAATTATATCGACAGAAGAAATTCCACTGTTTTTTCATGGAGATGCACAAGCACTGTTGGGAGACTCCTTAAAATACTCTAACAGCAGTGTCTGAACTAAATAGATAATATTTATTTGGTAAACCATCTCGGAAAGTTCATTCCACAGGGTGTGTTAAGTTTAACCCAAATTTGAAGTCATGAGTAGTTGTACTTCTGAGATATATCGCTCTGGGTTGAATTGAGTGGGCTAAGTCAGTCGAACACTGCCTGATCTCCAAATTTTTTTTCGTGGTTCGCTATCAAGGTTGTTCAAGATCTTTGGATCTGTAATCAGACGGAAAATAATCCAGCAGCCTCGCAGTGTGCGGTAAATTTTCGTTTTGTGGAAACCCGGCGATTTTGAAACAATTTTTGACTGTACTTACGTATTTTGATGCTTAGATTACGAATCCGAAAGGAAAAAGTGGCGCTCTCCCTTATTTAAAAAGTTACGGCCCTTCAAAGTTCAGAAAAGGGCAACTTTTCAGCCTTCTTTTTCACCATATAAACTATTTGAAAACACAAGAATTTATTCACTAGGTCACCTTTACACCTTATTTCTCCTTCTTTGACACTTTTCACTTCAATAATAAACATCTTTCTTATAAAAAACGTAATTTAAAAACGAATGCTTCTCCTGGTGACACTCTTATATTTGTAGGTTAGATACTAGTGACATTTCAGAAAAAAGCGGTTGGTATTTGTCGTCACCTATTATTTTAAATTCGTAGATTTGAATTTTTAGTTTGACGTGAGAGAAAAATACAAACTTAATTTGAACGAAATTCATAATTTAGTGAAAGTAAGAAGTAATTTAATTCTATATTTGGTTTAAGTAGGAGTGTTTGCAGCAACAATACGTTGTACTTATTGCAATTGCAATTGCAAAATTTACCTACAACTCATACTAATCCATCTTAC